GTAAGGCTGAGCTGAAAGCTGCTCTTGTGTCTGGCTTGGTGGAGAAAGGGATAGTGGCCTTGCCAGTGTCTGCCAGTCCACCTGGAGGTGGAGGCGGCGACAGCTGTCAGCTGTCACCCCTAGACCTCTTCCTGGGGACGTAACACTCTGACATGCAGACTCTTTGTTGTGGTGTTCCTCAAGGGAGTAGCCTAGGCCTACTTTCATTTTCTATTTTCACAAATGAATTGCCTTTTGCTTTGGAGAATTTCATCATTGTCCTATATGCAGGTGATTCCACCATTTATTCATCCACACAAAACCCAGTTAAATGAAACAATATTTTAAATGTTGAACTAAAATTAATTGAAAATTGGGTAAAGGAAAATAGAATGGTAATCAATGCGGAGAAGAGTAAATGTATAGTGTTAGGATCCAAATACCTTTTAAAAGATCCACCTGTGCTAAGTCTGACAGTGGGAGGTACTGTCATTGAACAGGTCACTGAGACAAAGTTACTTGGTGTAACTGTTGCCAGTATATTAAATTGGAATAGTGAAATCAAATATTATTGAAAATGGGTGGGAGTATATGACAAATTTTATTTCTAATAGAGTGATGAAAACACTTGTTAAAACATTAGTTTTGTCTCATTTAAATTATTGTTCAGTGATTTTGTCAAAGACAACTGAAATCAATTTGTATACATTGCAAATTGCTCAAAAGAAAGCCACTTCTTTAGTTCTAATCTGCCCATTCAAGAAAAGTGTTAGAGAAATGAATACAAAGCTGGTTTGGCTAAATTAAAAGGCACAATTAATTATTCCATAACTAGAAAAATCATAATAGCAAAAGTGCCAGAAATTCTGGATATCAAATTGTTTTTTCTTCCGATGTACATCAATATTCTAAGTCAACAGAATGGCATTTTTTAGTTAACTCCTTGTCAAACTAATCTAATGCAGAGGACAGCGCAGTATAAAATAATGGTGGCATGGAACTCACTTCCACAGTTTTTGATCTTAGGAAGGAACATAACTTTTTGTAAGAAATTGAGACAAATGACATTTACACAGAAATAATCCTTAGATTTTGTTATTTTTTGTTAGATCTTGGACTTTTTAAGTGATAAGCATGTTGGTCCCTAGGGACAGAGTTAATAATTAAAATAAGCAAAAATGAGCTATTGTGAATCATATAGGTGTTTATTTGCATCAATTAATGTATGTTTAATGTTGGCAATATTTCTGCCCATGTTACGACAAAATGCCCGAGTAACGAAATCCGCTGGCTCTGATTGGCTGAGCCTACAATGCCCACAATGCCTTCCGAATCATGTGACAACCCCTTGGCTTCCGTACTTGTGCTTAGCTGTTCCACCTGAACGACGTATTGTTGTTCTAGTTAGCAATTAGCCTATAGCCTATCGTTCAGCATTGCCTCACTCAAAACGCACAATGGGTGCTTCGACTTACAAAACTTTTCGACTTACGAAAGACCCTTGGGAACGAATTAATTTCGTAAATCGGGGTTCCACTGTATAGCTTTGCAAAAATTGCATAAAAAGCACTTGCAGCAACAAAAACATAATATTCCAGAAACACGCTTTGCCGATCCAGTCAGCTGTTCATAACACTTCCTACGTTGGAATAGATGTCAGCGCGAACTATCGCATGTTCGCCATTACCTGCCCGAAACCGGAAGTGGCGTCGTGTCACTTGTAGTTTTGTAGTTTGCAATGTAGTTTTTTACCTTCAGGGCCTTATAAGCCTATACTGGTGTTTTTAAAAGTTATGTTTGACTTCATGACCTTCTGTATCGTTTCTGGGATGCTTAGAATTCAAATGCTGGAAATAGTTTATTTTGATGCATATGCTGTTTTTTTTTTTGCAAATCTGCATTATAATAATAATTATTTCCTGTTTTTCTAGTAGTTTATAAAATTTGGTGTATTTCAAAAATAAAACTATGAAGACACTCAAAATAAATTTCCTGTGGTGGGAAACTATTTTGTACAACTTTTTTGTGTTTACAGTTTTGAGGGATAAGCCTCTTAAATTTCTCTAACTAGAAATATATGTTAAAAAAACAAAAATAATTTTCAATTTTTTTGTAGTTTATTGCACTTCTTTGCAATTTATGTAATTATTATGCACTTAATGCATACATATTATTAAAATTTGGACATAATGGTTGTATTGATGCATAGCAACTTGAAATGCTCCCAAAAATGGCACTACAGCATGTAAAAATATTATATAAGCTCTGGCGGAGTTCGTCCTATGGTAGGTTTTAAAGGGTTAAGAAAGAGTATTTTAAAATATTAGATGGAATCACCCAGGTTGCTGTAATGAAAAATATTTAGAAATTTAAAGAAAATTATTTATTCATTATTTATAATAATTAATAATTACTTATTTATTATTAACTCATAATTAGAGTACCATCAGGGAACTCAGAAATTATATTTTACTTCAATTAGACTGACTACTTATTTTTCTCGTACAATTTGCTCAGTCCACTATGAAAGTTGATTGAAAATATAATTTTCTTCATTTTGGTGACTAAGACTACATTTTTTGTTGTAGTCTACATGTTTCATTTTGCATTATTGTGAAATATAATTACAACATTCAGGAATGCCAGTTGACTTTTGCAATTAGAGTTTTTTTTATTAGTATATGCTTAATATGGGGCTTTACAGGACAGCATGATTTTTTTTTTCAATTTAAGTAGAAGATACTCAGATATATTTTGATGTCCTAAATCACTGTTTTTTTCTGATAAGTGAAACCAGTGAAAAAAGGATGGCTTGTACACCTGTAACAGTTTTGAGATATTAATGTTCAAGTGTTGTCTCAGATTTCAGTGTACATCAAAGTGGGTCAATAGAAAAACATAAATAATAAAATATAATAAAAATGTGTCTTGAAAAGTATTTGATATATAAAGCTAAAGTTTAAAAGCACTCATTAAATATTTTCAAATTCTGTACCATAAAGTTATTCTGTAAATCAGATTTAATCAAGCAGAATGTATTTCCAACCTTTGATAACTTGAGATGGAATGATCAAAAAGAAAATAAACAAACAGAAACAGAACAATATTATGAGCAAATTAAGTTGGCCTGCCTGGTCTACAGAACTGTTTCATTCTTCTTGTCATCAGTGGAGGCCATATCTAACATCACTTTAAGTGGAAGTCCTGAAGGTGATGAGGGCCAGAGAAATCCCATTGCAGTTTACAGAGCTGGACCTAATCTCACAGGACTGAAAACTAGAACGTGAAAAGAAATTGCAGTGCTGCTGTATCAGTCACAACTTTTGTTGGGGGTGGAGCCCCTCCGACTCAGTTTGTCCTCAAAACTGCTGCTATTATTAGCAAATTCATTTTATGAGCCCACATCCTAAGCTTCACCATGGAAATTATTATTATGCTGCAGGTGGTGATGATGATCATTGTGATGAATTGTTGGATGAACATGCTGATGATGGCATATACAATTGTAAAAAAAAAACTAAAAATTTTGATAAACAAAGAAGATGATAAGGGCAATGAGAAAAAAATAAAAAAGTTATCTCAAATGGCTACACATAATTCAGAACTGGATAGTCAGATTATCAATCCAATTGCTTTTTCTGCCTGTCAGGAACCCTGCAAGAGGTGACAAAAGCCAGAGAATCTTCTTGTTGACAAGGGTTATAAAGGCTTTCTAAATAAAAACTTAGCACAGAGTAAGGAAATTTGTGTTTGGTAATTTACTTTTGTAACAATGCTTCCAGACAATAAACCTGACAGTAGATTAAACAGATGAAACAGGAAATTTCTAATTTTCAACATTAAAGTGTCAAAGTCATTGTAAAATATCTCTGTTTAACCATCTGGTATGTTTTCTGTGTTCTTTTGTGACTAAAAATATTGGTTCATGAGATTTACATTCATTGAATTCTGTTTTTATTTACATTTTAAATGGTGTCCAAACCTTTTGGTATTAGGTCATATTGTAATTTACAATAAATGTAGTGAAGATGCAGTAATGAATACCAGTAACAAAGTGCAATAAAGTAACCAATGAAGAAGTGAAAGGGACTTTAGAACTAAAAAGATCACTTATATAACACTTTCATATCACATCATACCACATAGGAAATTACCTGATGTGTAGATGACCTCCTGCAAGCCATCTGTATATTGTCTTTTGACTCAGATTTAGGAGGCTTACTCTCAGCCACTTTCTCTTCTTCCTTTCTTTGTTTTCGCCTGCTGTGTCTCTCCTTTGCCCTTTTGGAGCTCATCTTGAAGGTCTTAGAGAAACTCTCTTTGCCACCAACTTTATCACTGGTCTCGGTAGCTCCTTCTTCAGCAGCAGCTATTGCTGCCTAGAAGTGTGAAGATAAGACAATGATAGTAACAGATCAGTGATA